AGAGGGATTGGTCTGAGGAGTATGACTTGGAACCACTGATCATGGCTACTTTTTACAGAAAGTAGCAGCGGGTTCTACTTTATATAATTCCCGTGGCTTCCGAGGGCATATTCTGTGTTGGGCACCGTGGGGCTCACTTACAATCCACTAGCACATCTGATCCGCAGCTCAGGCCAGTGAGGTAGGACCCTGTCCAGACTTTGCAGGTGAATAATCCGAGGTTTAGTGGGATAAGAAACTTTCCCAAGGCCCCACGAGTGGCAAGTGGCATAGCCGAGATTCTAACCCAAGCCTGTGAGGTAGGAAAGCCTGGTCTCTGGACCACAGTGCTCACTGCTGTTCCCCATCTGCCACCTATCCTGCCCCGCATTGCAGGGAGGGTCCAGTGCAGCTCTAGCGGGGGATTTGTCCCCACACAAGCCCACTCACAAGTGACCATCCATATCGTGATATGCTGTCTACCTCACCTGACCTTTCAACCATTTTAGGGTTCCCCCAAAGGGCTTCTTTGCAGAGGAGCATGGAACTTCCATCAGCAGCCATCCATCTGCCCAAAACCAGGCAGCTGGCCTGTCCCAGGCCTGTCACAAGTTGACCTGTTGCACACAGTTTGCAAACCCACTACCCCTCAGACTGGGACCTGACCCAGACACCAGGAAACTTTGGTCTCCTTGTTCTTCACCACCTGGATCTTGCTTTAGGCAAGAGGTAACTCTGGTCCCACCTTCCTGAGGCCTCATCTTATAGATCCACAGCTAGAGCATGGATGAGAAGGGGTGGAGCTGAGGGCCAACAGTGTATGACTGAGGGGTCTCTGCTCAGATCTATAAAGGACTAAAGCAAGGTCCATTCAAATGTGCAAGAGGCTCAGCCTCTCAGAGTCCAGAGAAAATTATTCAAGTAGTTGAGAATCGTTCATTCCCTCTTGTATCGCCATCATCCTAGTTCTGCCTTTCCACAGTTCAGTAACCCATTCTTTTATAGATACATCAACTTCCACTTGTCCTCCTGTTCATTTCTGCATTTATCCATCTCTGCAGTCATCCATCCATCCATCTATTCATTCATCCACCCACCCATCCATCCATCCATCCATGTGTACATCTATCCATCCATCCATCTATTCATCCATCCATCCATCCACCCCAGGATTAGGAAAGGAAGAAAGGACTTCTAGGCAGAGTGAACAGCAGCGAGTTAGGGCTGAAAGTGTTGGCAGGGTGTGTTCAGTTTGACTGTGGGGTCTGTGTGTATTGAGGACCTGAAGATGGGCCTGGAAAGGCAACAGGGGATCAGATGATTAAAGCCCTGGTGTATGGACAGAGGAAGGCCAGGGAACCCCCTGAAGCAGGAGAGAAAGGTATTTTTGAGTTCAGTCTGACAGCTAGGGAGAGAGCAGGTTGGAAGAAACAGAGGCTGCAGGCTGGCAGAACAGCCAGGAGCCTGTTTGCGGCAAACAGGTAGGCAGTGATCAGGCTGAGCCCAGGCAGGGACTGGCAGAGGCAGTGCGGATGGAGAGTTAGGGATGATGAGACCAGAGCAGAGGCTTTGGTCTGGGTGTCAGTTACACAGGGGTGCTCTGTTTGTGAAAATTCGAAAGGCTGTGTGTACTCATGGTGTGTGTACCATTGTGTATGTATATTCTACTCCAGTTTTAAAATAGAGTAGGAAACATCAGGGTAGATATTTAAGTCTCTTATCTGGGTCTCATCCAGGACACTGAAGTGGCTGTCTGAATTTTTCTTATAAATTGAGAGCTGGTTTCTCCCAACCAACGCAGAATTGCTTTGCTCAGAAGAGAAAGAGGAGGAGGATCTCAATTTTGGACTAGACCTTGCAGAATGGGAGGACTTGGCCAGTAGTCATCCCATTCACTGCCATTGGTTAAGCTCTCACTATGTATTTCATGATTCTAAGGCACACTTTGTTTTTTTTATGTTTTAAAGTCTCTGAAACCATAATGCATCATACAAAAAGTGACATGTTGTAATTAACTAGCTCACCAGGCAGTGTTTTCTCTTTCTTAGAAGTCCATAAAATAATGGTGCAATTGTAATCCATGGAGTCTTATGTTCAAGAAATAGGGTATTGTGAGCTGGTGCTTGGCCAAGTGCTGTGTACACCTTCCTCATCTTCACGGCACCTTATGGGTCATCAGCTGTGGTTTTGTCTGTTTCCCAGATGAGGAGCTGAGATATAGAGTGGGAAGGTCACTCACTCAATGTCACAGAGCTAGTTAGAGGTGGACTTGGGATTCCAACCTATGACTCTTCAAATCTGGGAGGATCTTTGGACAAAGCGAGAGTGAGTCTGAGGCCCAGGGGGTGGTGGCCCCTCCTTCGCACGGCATGAGACAACCAGGTCCACGGCGACCACCATCACCCAGCCCATCATCTTTCAACGCTGCCTCTGGTCACCCAGCCCTGGTCCTGCCCTTGACCCTAAACCCTGGGATTCTACCACCCCTCCCAGGAGGGCTCCAGGCCTAACATCAGCAGTGACCTCCGCCGACCACGGAGAGGAGGGGCTGGAATGAGATTTTAGGGGAAAGGGGGAAGAAATTCCGAGCCCAGCTGGTTTCCCTCACACAATGCAGATTTGCTTAAATAGGAATTAGGATTAGTGCTGGATTTTGCCTCTCTTGGCAGACTGGTAATAAATTAATCTCCTCTTAGGCTGCAGGAAGGCAGAATTCCTTCGAAGGCGGGAGACAGCTTCAGGCTCAGGAGTGCAGAACCTGAAAAGTAATTTCGTTATTGAAGGGCCTTGCCCGCGCTGCCTGACACGCAGCCTGCAGCAACTTCCCTGCAAGGCTGCAGCCTTTAATTTTGTTAATGTGTGACATTCACCCCGGCTGCGTGGCTGACGGGCACACTTGACATTAATACATGTTCCTCACGGTCCCCAGAGCTCATCAAAGCTCATTATCAGTTCTGAGCCTATAAATGTAGTTCCTAGCTCAGGTGGGCCAGGGACTCAGAGATGCCCTGGGGAAGCGGAGTGGTGGACATCCGTGTGAGAAATAAACTCCTCCCTTGCCTAGGGGACTCGGTCTCCCAGGACACCGGAAGGTGAACAGAAAAATAACTCTGTAGGCAGAACCCTGGGTTCAAGTTTGCCTCCAACAAAAGGGGTTCATTGTGTTCTGCTGTTTGAGGGGAACTGATCCAGTATCTCGGGGAGATAGTTTGTCAAATGTGAAGTGTGCAGAGCCTCTGCGCAGACATCCCACTTCTAGGCATCTGGGCTTTGGAATTGCATAAACATTTCCACACAGAGATGTGGGGACAAAGGGGCTCACTGCCGCAACGTTGTAACGGCCAGAATTGGAAATAACCCTCGTATCCATGGTGGGAGAGGTGAATGAATTGTGGTCCACACCTACTATGGGAACCGTGCAGCTGTGAAAAAGACTCAGGAAGATGCGTGTGTGCTCACTCTTGGGTGTAGACATGGTATCACTGATAACTGGGGTTGTGGTAAAATCTCATTTGAGCAAAAATTCACACTGTCTGCATGTGAGTGCCCATGGGCAAGCACATATGTGATACATAGAATAAAATCTAGAAGGTCATATGACAAAGATTTTGCAGTGGTTCTATGTGTTAAATAGGATGAGTGGGTATGGAAGAACTTTCACTTTTGTAGTTAAAAATGAAAACTAGGTACACATACATATACATCGATGTCCACATGTATGTGTATGTACATGGATATGGCTGGATACGTATGTAAATGTGCGTAAGTGTCATGAATTCCTCTGACTGTAGCCTTAATCCGGCCCATGACACATCAGGCTCCCTGGCTGACACTGCCTAGGTGGACGTCTGAGGCAGAGATGGCCAAATAAAACAAGGTCATGTCCTCTGGCCAGGCCCTGCTCCCCATCAGTCAGCAGGGAGTTCTGAGAATATCTCTTACGCCTCGGGTGCACCAGTGCTGGGCTCTGCAGGGTAGACCCTGAACTCATTGCTCTCCTGCACCTCGCCCACTGTGGAGGTGGCACGTGCAGATTTGACTTCCCACAGACCTGAGTTCTAGTCCCGACTCTGCCGCATTTCCACGGTGTGACCTTGGGCAAGTTTTAACTCCTCTGAATGCATCCTGGTCCTCATTCCTCAAGTGGCGATACTTCCTCATGGGGTTGTAGAGGGCATCTGGGTTATTGTCATTATTATTTGACACAACATGAAACTTGATCGGGGCTTCTACTGTGTGGGTGGGAGGGAGGGAGAGACGAGAAAGGGAGAGAAGGGGGAACCTGGCCCTCCCTGCTCTGCAGTAAATTTTGCTCTTTTGCTGCTCAGCTGTGCATGTGAACCAGCTGGTCCCCTGGGACTGACTTAAGCCTTGGCTGGCAGGTATGTGGTCTGGACTTGGTGAATTTGTTCCTTCTCCCGTGACCTGGGGACTCTTTGTCAAACTGACAGAGAGGAGGTGGAGGGCAGAAGGAAGAGGCTGGACTTCTGGCCCCTGAACTCTGGGGCTGAGTTGGCATTTTCACCACCAAAGATTTCTCCGCTTATTACTTACCTCTTTATGGATACCGACCCTGAAAGTATTGGTCTGCCCCAAAGTCTTCATTCATTAAGCCATGATTAATTCTTTTTTGCATTTTCAAAATTACTCAGAAAGCCTTTTTACCGCCTGAGGAAAATGGAGTTCCCACACCAAGTTGATAAAGTTCTAGCTAGAAGCAAAGAAACGCAATGTGCTGCTATGATTAGCATGCTCCACGTCAACCCAGGGACATTGTACAGGCTCCCGGGCTGATTCTGGAAACCTGAAAATATGTCCTGGTCCCTGGGCTCTGGGGATGCTGTCCTGAGATCCTCTGTGGGGCTGGGTGTTTGCTTTTGTCTTTCTGGCCGTGGGAACCTTCTGTGCCTACAGAGATGGAAGGAGGGAGAGGGTACACTTCTGGACCGATGGTCCCCAAAAGCCACATGCCCCCCATCCCTTGCCTTTTTAAAATGTATTTCTCTTTCTTCTCCTTTTAGAGTTTATCCTGAAGCCACCATCTGAAAGAGACCTCAAGAGAATCTTGACACCCCTGCAAGGAAAAGACACCAGCTGAGAAAGGTAAGATTGGCAACATGGGGGGCATGGATCTTAACTTATTCAAACAAAAGGATCTAATCTCCCCTCTCCCTGCCCTCCAGACCCTCCGTTTCTGAGTGATAAAGCTCTTGGCTCGTGCTGGGAGATGCAGGGCAGGCAAAGGGTGGCTTTACTCTTGTCCCCAGCCCCAGATGTTTGTTCAGTGATGGGGAGCAAAGTTGAGGGCTGAAGAGAGGCTGATGCCAAAGTGGGGTCTCTCTGAGGCTGGGCACCGCCCACTGAGAGGAACCACAGGGCATGGTTGGTCTTTGGAATCGATCCAGGAAGTGAAGATTAAAGGGTTGAAGAGGGTGAGCCCTCTGCGGGAAATCAGGGTTCCTGGGGGCTCACAGAGTGTCCCCCCTCTGTCAAGGACCCCTCCTTTGCCTCCCCCTCCCCCACACCCGCCATGGTCTTGGAATTGTGGGAAGGAAATAACTTCCTAGGTGATTTCAACCCCCTCCCCATCCCAGCCCACCCCCCCCTGATTCCAGGACTCTCTTTTTGGATAAAGTTTAAATCCACAAAGACTAGGATCGGTCACCACATTCCTTGATGGAATTGGGAACGGAAAAGCCTCAGTCTGCTTCTGGGGCTCTGGAAGCTTCTTGGGGTGCCCACAATCCCAGACTGGTGATGGGCTGGGTTGCCTGTGGAGGGTTCCTGAATGAGGAGCCAGGACGTCATCCTCTGGCCCAGTCTGTGCCACGATTGTGCCTCTGGAGTCTTTGCAAGCTGTTTCTCTCATTGGGCCTCATTGTCTTATCTGTAAAATGGGGCAGCAGTGACTTGAATCTCTGTTCTAGCCTGTATGTCCTCAGTTGCTGAGGTGCCAAGACCAGGGCTGAACTAGAGAAAGTGACAAGTGTTGGGGGGCAGCAGGGAGGCACAGATGGAGGGGGGGGCTTGGTCAAGGCTGTGGAGAAGGGACAGACTTTGAAAGCTCCGACGAGATTTGATTGCCAGTCTTGGGCAAAGGATGACTCAGTGGAAAGACCACAGGGTATGAGGTGCAGATGGAAGTGGGTTTGAGTCCTAGCTAATCAGAAGAGTCAGCTCAACCAACATTGATTAAGGGCTTTGCCGTCCAGGTGTAGGGCTGAGCATATTTCCTGTACGAAGAGCTCTGTTATCACCTCCATCTTAGAGAACAGAAAACCAGGCCTTAGAGAGGATGAGTGACTTGCTCAGGGTCACATAGCAGTGAGTAAAATGGCTAGCATTTGAAGCCCCTGCCTGAACTATCCTGCAATTCTTGTGTATTTTGTTTACCAGCTCTATGACTTGAATCTTAAGGTTAAAAACAAAACAAAACAAAAAACTTTGAGCCAAATCACCTCTCTGAAATTCCGTTCCCTGAAAAGACATAAAAGTCATTTGTTTCCTTGTCTTGAAAGTTTTTTTTTTTTTTTTTAAGTCATTTGTTTCCTTGTCTTGAAAGTTTTTTTGTTTTGTTTTGTTTTTTAAGTTTTGGGCTCTTCATAAACTCTCTGTGGGGCCTGGTTTTTAGATCTCTAAAATGGGGATATCACATCTGGTCATGGGGTGGTTTGGGGTGATGAAGATGAGACAAGGGAGCTGAAGCAAGCTCCCCGCACCTGTCTTCCCCACACACCCCCTCCACCTGCCTTCCTACCCCTAGGGCTGCTGTGAGGCTGGACAGGGTGTACACGCTGTAAAGTGCTGCGCCCGGCCACCTCTTGTGTCCAGGATTGGGAAGCACTTGGCCACTTTCCAGATCACTGATCTGATATTTGCCTGGTCTCCAAGCTCATCCTCTCAACTTTGGAGTGTGCCCACTGGCTGACTGGAATTATTTTAGGCTGGAATGCAAGGCAGGGTGGCTGTGTCCCAGCAGCAGACAGAGCAGGGTGAGGCCAAGGCCCTCCTGAGTGGACAGTGGCAGAGGGGTTGCAAGGCCTGGGGCTTGGGTAGGGGGTAGGAGCGCTCTCTCCCTCCCTCCTGCAGCTCACCCCGCTCCACTGGCCACCTGGGCCATAATCTTCATTGTAAACCTCCTGGCAGCAGCTGCCCTGATCCCTGCAGGAAGCTATCACCTTATCTCAGTGCCTGGATCCTGCATGGTTTTCTTAATCAGGAGAAGGTGCTGAAGCGAGTCCGAAAAAGCTTAACTTCCTCAGAATCTTTCTCCATCAGGGGAAGCCGTGGGTTTTGGACAAGAGGAAAGAATCTCTTTAAGTACAGAAAAAAACAGCAAGGGGGCTGTTGTTCTTGGTTTATCTTCAGGAAGGTTGCCGTGGGAGCGGCGTGATTTAGCCTTGCCCCTGTTGTTAAGTCAGGAAGCAGAAATGTTACTGAGTCACAGGGAGAATGTAAAGATGACCCTAGGCCGCAGGCAGACAGGCCTGTGCTGTTGTGGGAAACCTTTGGTGGGGTCTAGGAGCTGGCTGGTGGAGGCTGAGTCCCAGCTCTGCCTTCCAGTAGCTGTTTGACTCTGGGTTAGTGATTTGTTCACCCAGAGGCTCAGTTTTCTTACCTATCAAATGGGCAGCTAGCGTGCACCCCTCCCCACCCCCAACACTGGGTGGTTGTGAGAGCAAGGAATCACCAGCAGCGTGAATGCTCCTGTTTGCTTTGAACGAGGGCGAGGGCAGCCGCCCCCTGGAATAATGTGGCCTCCCAAGGTGACCTCCTTGAAGCGCTCCGGGCTCTCAGGAAATAAAAGCTGGGTGTTTGTGACTGCACAGTGGGGTTTCCCTGGAGACACATACCTCTTTCCATGCGTAGTCTAAAAACAGCCTGAGAGTAGGGCCTGGGCTGTGTCAGCTCTCTGCTCTGACACCTCTGGGACGTGGGGCCATCTCAGGTGTGGACAGTTCCTCCTGAGCCTTTATCCCATGGTTTACACTTCACTCGTGGTGATCTTTCCCGCTCCCCTCCTGTAGATCTTTCCCGCTCCCCTCCTATAGATCAGCCCTGGTCCTCCCCACACCCCAGGAGGCAGGGATTAACAAGTTCTTTTTCAGTGAGGACAACTTAGGTTCAGAACAGTGGTCAATTACTCTGGAGTTCACTTCTAAAAAGGTTAGGACCCAAACACTGGGCTCCCGCCCTAAGGACAGTGTGTTTACCATAGCACCCCACAGCACCCATGGTGCCCACAAAGGCACCCCTCCACACCTACAGAGGCACCCCGTGTGTGTCCACAGACACCCCACAGCACTGCAGAGGTTTCCCACGGAGCACACAGAGGCACCTAAGGCATTCATGAAGCACCTCCCAGGACTCGCAGCATCACCCCGTGGCATCCATGGTGGTCCCCAAGTGTCCACAGAGAGTCCTGCACGCCCACAGTGACTCGCCCCAGCTCCCAGGGTGGCACTGCTCCTGTGTGTAACTTTTGGAGGAATATTAATATACTGTAAAGCTCCCCAGGTGGTTCCAATGTGCAACCAAGGTTGAGCACTACTGGTGTTTAGAGGAAGACGAGGCACAGTTAGGGAGGCTGGTTGGGAGGCTGCCAGAATGATCCAGGCCAGTACAGGGTGGAGAGGATGTGGCGCTGAACTAATGCTTCAGTCATGGGGGTGAAGAGGCCATGAGAGAGTTGAAAGAAGTTAGTGAGGGAGATGTCCTGATTCGCCTTGATTCTGGGAAGGCTTTGAAGCCAAAAGTGAGAAGTCAATGGTCCACATGAGCTTGTTTAACCTCCCACCCACCTCCCAGTGTGATCTGGAGGAAGATCTTGGTCCCAGCCCACCTCTACTCTACTGTGTGACCTTTGGCAAGTTGCTCAACCTCTCTGAGCACCCTCATTGCCTCTCTAAGGGGAATCAGTATTCTCTGCCTGCCCATGCAATGAGTTGGGTGAGAATCAAATGGGCCAGCTCTGCAGAGGCTGGAATGGGCTTAAAGGGAACGGAATGCTTGGCAGATTCTCGAACACAAAGTTCCTGCCAGGTGATTACCAGTATCTGCCTAACCGTCTCCAGGGACTTGGGGTTCATGGCCTCCACTGCAGCCTGTGTTGCCTTGGGCTGCCTTCGGCTGGCTCTGACGGGTCAAAGTGTCTCCTTGTGCTGAGTTGAAATCTGTTTCCTTCTACCCTCTGTCTACTTGCCCCAGATCTGCTTTGTAGGGAGCAAGCACCACCCCTTTCCTTCCAGGTCATTCTCTGGCACCCATACCCCAACTCCTTCTCATCTGCCAGCTGCAAGGTCGTGGTGACCTCCACCTCCCTCTGAGGGTGCAGGTCTAGGTGCTGTCTGGACTTCTTGCTCTCTTGACCCACCTCTGAGCAGACTCTGGCCTAACTTGACACTTTAACAGTTCAGCCCTCAGAGCTGAGGCCACTGTGTTCTGAGCCCAGCCAAGGTGGGTGGGACCATCACCTCCCTCAGACCAGACCTTTTATGTCTGTTCTTGGAGCCGAGATGGCCTGGGGGTCCAGTGATTCCTACATCCGTTTGGGTTCAAGCTCCCATCTTTTCGTTGACCAGTAGAAAAAGGGACTCATTCTTGCTACGTGCCTCACATTTTCCATGTGTTACTTATAAATCCTAAAGCGGTTTAACCCAAGAGGGAGGGCATAGCTTTGGGATTAGATGAATTTCAGGGCTATTTTTTTAGCTTGGGCAAACGAATTCAGTTTACTCTCCTGGTACATGAAGACCGTCATTACAGTTACAGGCTTTGAGGTCAAGAGTAAATGGGACGATGGAAATCAAGTGTGTAGCCCACTGCCTGGGAAGGAGTCAGCGTTCCAGAAAGTGGTGGATATCATCACCCGTGTCCGTGTCAGCCAAGTACGAGCCTTCCTTTTTGCCCAGTTCTGACTGGTGGGGCCCAAGCCCTGAGTTTAAGCGCAGGAAGGGGCAACAGCCCCGGGCTTCCCCTCCTGGCTTCCCCCTCACTCTCCGGGACATGTATGTGAGGGGACAGGTTGACAGGTTCTCATCACCTCTGTTTCCTGCTTACTCAGCCCAACCTCTGCCAGAACTTTCTGACCTCAGGCCAGCCCT